TATAATAATGATAAGTCCAGAAATAAATTTATCCAGTCTAATTCAAATGAGACCAAACTTTTGTTCCACTTTTTATTAGATTTTATTTCAGTATAGACATTTCAGTTAGGGTCTAACAACATCTCTCTTCAACCAAACCTAATAAACACTGCATCACAAAATCCCAGGGCTGGAGAGGGTACAAATTTGATTGGTTAAAGCAGATGTCATTGAGTCAGGTCAAAAGGTTAATTTGAGGAACGTTAAAGAGGGCCGCCTTTAGACCAAAATTGAAGTGGCTGTATCTAAAATAAAAGCTAAAAGAAACTTTGATCTAATTGGAAATAAAATGAAATGGGGTTTTTGTCTCACCTTTCCGTTTTAACTTTAGCCAAATGAAGTCATGACTGAGGCATAGAAAGGGAAAAAGTTTAAAGTTGGTTACCTTCTGATCTGCTTTGAAATCGTCTTTCTGTACCTCTAGCTTTTTTCGTTTGGATTGCAACCTCTCAGCCGTGCTTGTAGATATAGTTTTAACACGTCTTATCTTCTCAACTCGATCCTACAATAGATTGGAGTTTTACACCCTTATATTCTACAATTTATTAGATCATAAGATGCAAAGCCATTTAGTAATGGAAATGAAATGAATGGAGTTTTACGTCCTACTTTTCTGCACCATGTGGGCTAATGAAGACGGGCAACGCCATGCAGGGTGCAATGAGGACAGCGGCATTAGCCTGCTCTTTTTAGATTTCCAACTGTCGAGGGATCTTTAACGTGCACAGCCTGTAGCACACGGGGCCCCGATTTATTGTACCATCCGAACGACTAGACGCTTTTTCCATGTCAGCCCCTCTCACCTGCATCACTGACAAGGGGAAACTGGGTTGAAAGATTTGAAGGTATTATCTCGACCTATGATTGATGGGACTTGAACCCTGGACCTTCAGGTTCGCGAGCAAGCGTCTAACTCACTGAGCCAGCGGCTGCGGCTCCCCATATAGTAATGGAGCCAAGTGCCCTACTTTTGAAGAACAGCCCAACTTTAGAATTTTTCTTTCTTTCAATTATATATTTCAGATTCCACACAGACCCCTTTTCGCCTCATTTTAACAGGATTGTGCTGTTCTCTATTAGTAATGAAGACAAGTAACTCCATGTACTGTACAATGAGGGACATTTTACCCGGTTACAAGATGGACCATCTGGACAATGGGTTAGATGTCATCAGCTTGTATATTTTGTCCAATCATGTGAGACATATCCCAAAACAAAGAGATATAAAAGTAAGTCCTACCGCCATCTGTTTGACAACACCACTTTCATTACCCTGTCCAGAGTTAAATTTACTCATTATCCTAATAGTCATCAGAGTATGGCTCAATATACTCTCCATACCATGTAAAACTGAAAGTATTCCAAATAGATGAACAAGATGAACAGAACGGGTATGATGAACAGAAAGGGTCAGATGAACAACATGAACAGAATGGGTAAGATGAACATGATAAATAGAGTGAGTAGCTTGAATAAGATAAAAAGAATAGTTCAGGTGGACAAGATAAACAGAATTGGTAGGGTGAACAAGATAAACAGAATGGGTAGGATGACCAAGATAATTAGAATGGGTGAGGTGACCAAGATAAACAGAATGGGTAGGGTGAACAGGATAACAAAATGGTTACGGTGAACAAGATAAACAGAATGGGTAGGATGGAAAAGATAAACAAAATGGGAAGGATGAACAAGATAAACAAAATGTGTAGGATGAACAAGATAAACAAAATGGGTAGGATGAACAAGATAAACAAAATGGGTAGGGTGAACAAGATAACAAAATGGGTGCGGTGAACAAGATAACAAAATGGGTCGGATGGACAAGATAAACAAAATGGAAAGGATGAACAAGATAAACAGAATGGGTAGGATGAACAAGATAAACAAAATGGGTAGGATGAACAAGATAAACAAAATGGGAAGGATGAACAAGATAAACAGAATGGGTAGGATGAACAAGATAAACAAAATGGGTAGGATGAACAAGATAAACAGAATGGGTAGGATGAACAAGATGAACATAGGTCAGTTGCAGAAGGTGAACAGAATGGTTTGAGTAAACAAGATGAACAAAATGGGTGGGTGAATAGAGCAGGTTTAACAAAAAACAAAGCATCAAGTAAGATGAGCAGAATGAATAAAGTGAACAACATGAACAGAGTGGGTAGAATGAACAACATGAACAGAGTGGGTAGAATGATTAACATAGGTAAAATGAAGAATGAATGAAGGATAGAAAGAGAAAGTTAATGAAAAAAACCAACTTACATTCAACACAGCCTATTGACATACGAGATAAAATTTCTTTCGGATCTGTTTTTATCTGAATAATATACATAGAAATTTTATAGAGATATTAAAACAGAGTTTCACGCTATGTGATCATTAGACAACTGACCTTTGGCATTTCAGCCTGTGTCTCTACTACAGTTGAACAAGTAAAACTACATTTTGAGACAAGTTTGGAACAAAAGAATGGCCACAGATTTTTAGATGGGCTAGTATACCCTGCCTTACCAATGACTACTACCACAATATCACTTTAACTAAAAAAAAAAATCAAAAATTCAGAAGTAGTCTTAGATAGGAGCGAAAGATCACAGTCAGTACCTAATGGAATTAAAAAAATATACTAACATCATCTGGTATAAGTTTAGGTAATTTATGAAGTTGTGTAGCTGGTTCAGGATGACCTTCTTTTTCCAGAGCTATTGCTATTTGATCGCGGAAGTGCATCATGGCTCTGAGAATTCTGATAGCATCTTTCTGGATAACTACTATCTGATCTTTATGTGAATTCTCTACACGACGAACAACAGCTTCTGTTCTAGAATTTGAAAAAGAAAATGACAATGATGAATGTGAAGCTTTGGTATTTGACATGTAGCTCATATGACCTTAAAGAGATTCAAGAGAAGTTTTCTGGCTTTTTCTATGCATATCTAGAACACTTTGAGGTCTACAACTTTAATTTGAATTCATAATCTGGTCCAAATTCTGGAATTGATAGAAATCATAGACGTTGGACAGAAAATTTTAAATAGAAGCCATGTGTCCCTCTGATACTCATACAAAGTCTAGAATATTTGCTGAAATTATCCATTCTGAAATAATGACTACAAGATTGGATATCCACAAATTATAGCTTAGGATAAATTGTAGCTAAGGATAAATTGTAGCTTTGGATAAATTGTAGTTGGATAAATTGTAGCTTAGGATAAATTGTAGCTTTGGATAAATTATTGCTTTGGATAAATTGTAGCAAAGGATAAATTGTAGCTATACATTGTAGCTAAGGATAAATTGTAGCTATCAATTGTAGCTAAGGATAAATTGTAGCTTTGGATAAATTGTAGCTATACATTGTAGCTCTGGATAAATTGTAGCTAAGGATAAATTGTAGCTATCAATTGTAGCTAAGGATAAATTGTAGCTATCAATTGTAGCTAAGGATAAATTGTAGCTAAGGATAAATTGTAGCTTTGGATAAATTGTAGCTATACATTGTAGCTCTGGATAAATTGTAGCTAAGGATAAATTGTAGCTTTGGATAAATTGTAGCTATACATTGTAGCTCTGGATAAATTGTAGCTAAGGATAAATTGTAGCTTTGGATAAATTTTAGCTATCAATTGTAGCTTTGGATAAATTGTAGCTTAGGATAAATTGTAGCTTTGGATAAATTGTAGCTATACATTGTAGCTCTGGATAAATTGTAGCTTTGGATAAATTGTAGCTATACATTGTAGCTTTGGATAAATTGTAGCTTTGGATAAATTGTAGCTTAAGATAAATTGTAGTTGGATAAATTGTAGCTTAGGATAAATTGTAGCTAAGGATAAATTGTAGCTTAGGAAAAATTGTAGCTAAGGATAAATTGTAGCTTTGGATAAATTGTAGCTATACATTGTAGCTTTGGATAAATTGTAGCTTTGGATAAATTGTAGCTTAAGATAAATTGTAGTTGGATAAATTGTAGCTTAGGATAAATTGTAGCTATACATTGTAGCTTTGGATGAATTGTAGCTTAGGATAAATTGTAGCTATACATTGTAGCTTTGGATGAATTGTAGCTTAGGATAAATTGTAGCTATACATTGTAGCTTTGGATGAATTGTAGATTTGGATAAATTGTAGCTATACATTGTAGCTTAGGATAAATTGTAGATTTGGATAAATTGTAGCTATACATTGTAGCTTTGGATGAATTGTAGATTTGGATAAATTGTAGCTTAGGATAAATTGTAGCTTAGGATAAAGTATTAGGAACCACTTGAGCATTACCACTATTACAAAAGCAATTAATAAGAATTTAAATTGCCATGACTAGTAAGCATGCAGATAGCAATTGTCACAAAAAACCAATTATACCAAACAGAAGCCAAAACCCACAAGAAATCAAATGAGGTAGACATGGAATGAGTTCAATGAATTAGACAGAAAAGCAAGGTTCAGATAGCTATACTGGTAATGTATTCTCGAAACGATCTCAGCGATAGGATGTCCTAGAGTCATAACACTGTTTCTGGGATATCCTAGAGCTAGGATCGAGAATATGTAGCCTGGATTATTCAAGATGGAATATATTATAATAATTCAATCTTACCTTCACCTACCTAGAGTATGCTTTAGGAAATAAAACATGTTAATATTCAACAAGTACAAAATGATTGATTGAGTGTTGGCTAAATAATTGCTGCTGTGCATGAAATATCTCAAAATTGTAAAGTGGGTGAATGAACATTTATCTCTATGTTTGAGAATATAGGACAATGTAAACTTCAACTGTTGAGGGATCTTTGATGTCCATACCCTGTATCACACAGAGTCTCATTTAATGTCCCAATACAAAATGCTAGAAGAAACATCAAGTTCTAGGGCCAGTCTCGCAAAAACAATCACTAAAATTAAATTTAATTAATCAACTAGAAATTCATTTTTTAAAAATTGTAACAACCAATCAGATTGCTGCAATTCTTAACATCTTGATTCAACTTTTCAAGTCATCTGATTTGTCAATCACAAAATTTTGATGTTAAATCAGTCTAATTAAAGTTAGACCAAACTTTCATTCTGTTTTTTTTT